TGGAGGTATCTTGTTCGTGCCTCAACTGTAATCTTCATATTTGATAAACACCCTTTTTTGCGACTTTGTTCCAAGAGGTTTGTCCCTTACAAAATCATCTGATTCCCTTTTAATTGTTAGCGAGCGAAAAACGCGCGAAACAATTACCATAATATTATTGTGTTAAAAGTAAATTTCACAGTCCTTCGATACAATGATAGCGATCAATTTATAGGTTTGGAATATTTCTCTTAATAAATTTGATATTTTAAGATGAAAACCAAATATTGGTGGAAAAATGGGAAATGAGATAATTACCTAGGATGTCGCCAACCATGAAAGTTTTACTGGAAGCCCAGTTGGCGTGCGAGCATGGGCAGACCCAGCACCCTGCGATGGGGCACAGCTGCTCGTGCTTGATCCGCATGAGTCTTCAATAGAATCAATACTGACGGGTAATCAAAGAGTTACGGAGCTGGAAGAAGGGGGGAAGAAGAAGATGAATTTTTTAAATTTGGGCTCCTTTTTTAGGCCATTTTGTTTTTGGCTGAAGAGAGTTGGGCTTTTTAAAAATATTAGGCCCAATAATTGGCCAATTGGGATAGATAATACCCATTACCCGACAACTTACTGTTAGCAATTACCAAACGTGAAACGTCTCCAAACCCTTCACTCCTTCAGACTTCGCCNGGGCTTTTTAAAAATATTAGGCCCAATAATTGGCCAATTGGGATAGATAATACCCATTACCCGACAACTTACTGTTAGCAATGACCAAACGTGAAACGTCTCCAAACCTTTCACTCCTTCAGACTTCGCCGCTTCCGTCGGTTCTCCACTTCTCCGTCTCAGTTCTATTCATTACACTGCTTCTGTCCACTAAAGGTATTCCTTTCACGCTTTTCTCCCTGTTCATCCATCTGTAAGTCGTGAAAGAATTGTTTGTGCAATTTAATCGAATTAATTTGATTACGTATAGTTAGTAGAAACTTCATGATTCTACAATTTTTTTGCTTTAGTTATAATTCATGGATTTACCTTTCCCACATTGTAGAATTGTTTGTGCAATTTAATCGAATTAATTTGATTACGTATAGTTAGTAGAAACTTCATGATTCTGTATTAACACATGAGCATGTAGTGGTGTCAACCGAGTCGAGCGGCTCGTACTGTGCACGCCCACGAGCCACTCGGGTTCGTCTTTTTAAGTATTAAACTTACAGGGTGTAATGTTTCTGTATTAACGCATGAGCATGTAGTGGTGTCAACTGAGTCGAGCGGCTCGTCGGCTCGTACTGTTTACGCCCACGAGCCACTCGGGGTCGTCAAAAGACAAGCCCGAGCGGGTAGGTGAGCTAGACGAGCCGAGCCCGCTCGGATCGTAACTATTCACGAGCGGCTCGTCGAGCCGCTCATGGGCTCGTCTATATCTATAAAAAAATAATAATAATAAAAAAAGACGTGACCAGAACTGTCACTGATTTAGTGGTGGCCCATTGTCGCACGAGTTCGACTCGAGTGAGCTCGTGGCTCGTTGCCATTTGGGCAAGTTCGGCTCCTGCCCGAGCTCGCCCAAGGCGAGAGGCTCGACAAGCCGAGCTTAAGCTCTGCTCGCCCCTTTTTTATTTTTATTTTTTTACGCTACTACAACGAAATCTTAAATTTAAAAAATATATGTATGCACATTTTCTAATTTTTTAAAAT